TTATTATTACTATTTTCATCAGTATTGTTGTTGTTAGGTGTAACTTGAACATCTACGAGTCCCTGAAGATCAAACCCCAGTCCTGGTTCTGCGGCTTCCTGGCGTGCGCTCCCTACAAGACGGTCAAGGTCGAGCAGAGCGGTCAGTCGGGGGTCAAGGTCGTGGACAAGAGCTCCACCAATCACAGGCGATGTGGCGAGTGCCACATGGATATTGCCAAGCTCAAGAGTAAATATTACTGACCAGTACAACTCCAAACAACAGAGGGTTCATCTAACAAATTGTCGTTTTTAAGCTCAAGACGGCTATCCAGAAAATGCTGTTTTGAGAAAATCGAAGGTAAAGTTTTTGCCCCTTCCTCAGTTTCTTTAAATGACAAAAAGGAGAGTTTTTTCTACAACCTAACAAATATACACACAAATGAAACCAAGCTTCTCCTATAGGTAGAACAATGCCCACTTTTAGTGAGGGTCAAGATTTCTGGAAACCCATGAAATCTAGGTTAGCCCGCTTGTCCTTAAAAGCGACCGAATATAACGGCCTTTTGAGAGTAACGTTTGATTCCTTATGAGTTGTATGTTGAGACTTTGAATCTAAGAAAACATAGCATAATTTTTTTTTCATGTAACAGGTTTTTATTTCTTTGGCGTTATATTGAAAGGCGCTTTTCCCCGAATCAAAGGGACAGAAGAGACATTTTACGGCAGTAGGGCAACCACAAATTGGCACAGTTCAACCAAGTCAATAAATATAAATAACTAGCTGGGGCCCCCTTTCGAAGAAAGAAATGATCGGAGCATTTCTATCATCAACTGAAAGTCATTGGCTATTAAACACTCTACTGGAATGGAGCAATGAATCTTGAGAGAAAAATGACACATGTGTTTCCAAGTTGCCAAATTATATTAGTAGATGTATAGATTTATTCTCTCTTCATCTTTCGTGGCTAGGTCCGGTTGTCAACTCCAGAATTTCAAAGGTGGGGATTTAGTGGGCACGGCTAGTGAACAGAAAACTCACTTGTTTACAATGGTGTCTTAGAAGACGGACTTTCCCAAGAATAGATCTGAACGAAACTAATGAAAAATTGCAAATTAAACTACAGTGACTTCAGACTCCTTAATATAACTTTGCACCCTTCTAATGATTCTGAACCACTATTAATTGCGTCAAATTTCGAAAGCTTAGTGGTTCAGAAGTGTGAACTTCCACAAATATAATATATTTAGATTAACATTGTTTCACGGTGAAATATTCTCTTACGTACAGCCGTCACAGTCTTGATCGTCTCTCAGACCAAAATGTGTTTATCTCGTTGATGACCAGGACTTCTGTTGACTTGTTAGACTCTGTAGCTCGCAATATGGCGTGATTGTTGCAACTTTTTAGAAGTAGACCTAATGTGAAATGGTACGTCATGCTACAAAATGGGGGCAAAGTTGAAAATGGTTTGTTTTTACCATGTATAATGCGCAATATAAAGCAAAATCATTCAGTGGACTTATCTAAAAAGAATATCTGACAAATTCCGTTTGGCTTCCTAATATTATGTTCAAATCAGAAACGCAAAACTTTAGTATGGTGGAAGATATTTACAAACAAGTTGTATTGTTGTTGTTTTTATCACCCTGTAGATAGAAAAAGAAGGATAGAGAGAGATAGAGAGAAATACATTAATTGTGTGTATGAGTGTGTGTGTGTGTGTGTGTGTGTGTGTGTGTGTGTGTGTGTGTGTGTGTGTGTGCGGGTCTACGAGTGTACGTTTGTGTGTATTCTTCAGAGACTGAATGTCAAACTAAAACGTCTTTGTACAGTTTACTGTTTTGAGCTTGTGTATCCCTGTGTGAATGCAACATGAGTTCATACCGACCGAGTGTTTGAATGTGGAAGTACGAAAGCATGTCTGTTTTTTGTATTGTACTGTCCCTGTGGTTTTATGCAACAACAAAAAATGAAATTATGCAAACTGAGCTAAAAAAAATAAAAATAATGAAATTATGCGTTTCTGTAAATTTTAACAAAGAACGATGAAGGAAAATAATCAGAAATTACGCCAAAAAATAAATGATCAAATTTTGCTAAATTATGCGGGGTGCATAAAACCACGAGGACAGATTGTAGTAATACTCTTGTGCTGGTACCTGTGTATGTGGGTGCATGCACTCAACAGTGTACGTGTGTATGTATGCACACACTTACAGAAATGATTTGTCGTGTAGCTAGAATATGATTGTATATGTAACATAATGAAGTGGTCGTGCTATATACTTAACCTGATATTTGATATTTACATCACAATTACTCCAATAAACTTCGTCTATGTCATTGCACCTCTTCGACGTCTTGTGTCGTTCAGCTTAAGTTACTTGAAAACGTGCGTAATATTTAAGAATTGCATGTTTATTACATGACTACGGGATGGTTGTGTGTGATGGGTTTTTTTTTGGGGGGGGGGGAGCTAGGAGAATGAGGTCTTAAGTTTATCCTAAAAGCATGTTTTTTAATGTAGCAATGTGGCTAGGTGTTATTACGACCCAATATACACAATTTGAACCATTAAGGAGGCAGGCTTCGACCCCAACCCGATCAGTGGGTTTTCGTGGCCTACGGGTTAAAGTGTTCGCCTCTCATTCAAAGGTCTCGGGTTCTCTTTTCACCTCCTTCCTGCTCTCTAGCAATAAGCGGTCGTCTGCTTTCGTCTCCACTTTCTGCCCCCACCCCTTCGCCTCCTTCACCCCCTCCTCTGGGCTCCTGACTCTTTCTACAGGCCTTCCACTGCTTCTCCTTGGATCCTTCTTACTGCTTTCCTTTATCCACACCCCTGATCTTCTGGTAGGAAAGATCTTCTCGGACAAGGGCGAAAAATCTCGGAGGTACCGTGCGCGCACGCTAAAGATCCCTTGGTGGTCAAAAATCGATAAGAGTAGTCTTCGGCCGTCACCCGGGCAAAATTCAAAATTTCCTACCAATGGAAAATGTCAGGTGTGTCTTGCGCGCTCATATGACCTTATGCAATTAGGAGCGCCGTAAAACACTTATTTAAAAAAGGCAAAGAAGAGAAGAGAAAAAGAAGAGAATCACCCGATCAAAGAGAGATACAACATCCCAACAGAAACCACTGAAATATTAGGGAAAAAAAATCATCTTACATTGAAATTAAACTTGGCTCTTTTGTGTGCGACGATGGAGCGTATACCCACTACACCAAAAACGCCTGTACCTTGGCTCTGTGTGTTGTTCCGCTTGCCACTCTTGATAAAGTGCAAGATGTTTTAGACGTTTACACGACGTAGCAAAAATAGAAATAGATTTTTTGAATGCTTAAAACGTGGCAACATTATACATGTACTAGATTGGTCTCCTTGGTCACAGCAGAAGTCACATGTTATCTCAATCAAGTATTCTCCACTAAAGGTGCATTGGTCATCGTCAGACATTGTCGATTCTTCTTCTTCTTCTTCTATATTTTTTCCTTCTTCTTCTTCTTTTTCTTCTTTTTCTCATGATCTTCATTGTGTAAAAAGCTCTGCTATCTCTACCTCTTTTCACTTCTTTTTTCCTGTTTACTAGTCCTGTTCTGTCATCTCCTTTCATCTCCACTCCCCCCCCCCCCAACACACACATTCCCTACCTTTGTTGCTCTTCTCTCCTTTCCTCCAGACTCGACAGTTACCCCTGGTTCCTTATTACTGCTGTCTTTCAGCCACACCCTTGAGTTAAGGAGTAGGAAAGATTGGGCACCTAACCTTTTCGGATGAGAGTAAAAAACCTCAGAGGTTCTGCACGCAAGTCACACACGTAAAAATCAAATGCAATGCAGGTTGAAGAATCAGCATGAAGGCTCTACAGATTCAGATGTTATGGTGTTCGCCTCTATTTTAATAGGTCTCTATTTCGAAACTTGACAGCGACGGAAGATTCTCTTCTTTAAAATTACATGTACTCCTTTCACTTCCTTTCCTGCTCTCTAACAACGTTCTGACGTCTGCTTTCGTCCCCACTCCCCCCCCCCCACTCCCACTCCCCTCCTCTGGGCTCCTGACTCCCTGGATATGCTCCAAAAGGAGAGACATCGTCAGTGCGTGTAGTTTAGTTTTTGTAGAGGTTTTACGGCACTCGTAACTGCATAAGGTCATATGAGCGCCAAAAGATTAGAGGTGTTACAAGAGAGTAGCAAACATTAAAAAGAAATAGGGGAGATAAGGACGATAGATGTTTGATAGGAAAGAAGAAGGCAACCATCGTCAGTAGGCTTTGGATTCAAATATGGAGTAAGGCTCTGTCTGCTATAGAATATTATAACACTTATCCTAATTGTTTCTAGTGACTTCATTAGTTCAAGCTCTGAACTACAGGCTGTCCATTTAAAGAAAAACATGTTGTTGTATGATTTCTTTTTACTGATGACTCTTGATAGAAATCATAATTTGATTCTAGATTTTTTACCGGAAGAATGTTTTACTGTTTTTTTACAGCACAAAAAAATGTGTTCACGCACGACCACTACGAGAGAAATTTTCCCATTGGCTTAGTCAATTAAGGAATTTTAAACTATAGCTGATAAGTAGCATTCATTCTACAAATTCGGTCATGAGTCAATCTGGCATGGACAAATTGAATGATAACTGTTTATGATTATGGGCTTTTAATTTATTCATGTTGTGAATTTTTTGTTACATACTATAAAAAGCATTGTGTACTATTATTCGCCGATTTCATTTGAAAGTGGGACTATTATACCTATAAAGAACACATAGTATCTATAACTGACGCCACCAAGTCTAAAGAAACACTTTCGTTACTAAGAGAAGCACCTTTAGACATAAGTATAATAATGATGAAGATGAAGATGATCATCATAGTAATAATATAGTAATAGTGATAAAAGTAACAACAACAACAACAGCAACAACCAAAAATAGCATTTGTATTGCGCAAATTCATGTCCAACAGCAAACTCCTCGCATTTGTGCAAGTACATAGTCACAACCTCGAAAAAAATCAATATGTTATTATTCAAAATCTAAAAGCCCAAATCAGACTGATATGAATTAAAATTTATTTTTCTAAGAAAGCCGTTTCATTTTTCAAAGGGATGGCCTATTATTATAGTTGTTAAGTTCCGATTCACTGCGGTGGTGTGACGTCACCGCCGATGACGTGGGTCCAGGAGGTGCTGGATGTGCTGACGTCACAGACCAGGGAGGGGTCGTGGCTGGCGCGCTCTCCTGCCTGGTAGCAGTGGTGGTCAATGTGGCACGTGTGTTTCTGTGAGAGGAGACGGATGGGGAGAGGGGAGGGAGTGAGAAATGAGGGAACATGATAAGTCATATTGTATACGCAGAATGGATCAATGGGGGTTAAGCCCACTCTTGGAACCCCCCCGAAATCTGGGTTAGCCCGCTTGTCCTTAAAAGCGACCATTTATCATGATGAAACTCTTCTAGACGTACACCAGTCTGAGACACTTTTGTCTAGGACAATTTGCAACCCTTTTGGACAGTGCGTAGCTTCATTGGACAATGGGTGACCGCCTTGAACAATGTGCAACCCTTTTGAACAATGTATAGCTTCGTCTAGGACGATGGGTGACCCTTTTGAACAATGCATAGATTTCTGTAGGACAACGTGTGACCCTTTTACACAATACATATCTTTCTCTAGGACAATGGGTGACCCTTCTGGACAATGCATAGCTTTCTCCAGGACAATGGGTGGCCGTCTTGAACAATGTGCAACCCTTTGAAACAATACACAGCTTTGTCTAGGAGTAGGACAATGGGTGACCCTTCTGGACAATGCATACTCTCATTGGACAATGGACGACCGTCTTTGACAGTGTGCAGCCGTCTTGAACAGTTTCATTAAAGAAAAGAAAGCTTCTAAAAAACTAGGAAATGGACGGGAAGTCCCAGGCTGACCTTGTGTTTACAGCTGGCACCGTCACAGGCCAGACAGAGGCTGTCGTAGACGCGCATGCGCAGACTGTTGCCGTACGTGTGTCGGTCGTTACTGGCGGAGATACTGTACACTTGGCTGGATACGTCTGGGAGGGGGAGAAGGAAGATATGAGTAGATGGGAGAGGTGGTAGTCAGAAGGTGGTGGTGGAATGGTGGTCTTTAACATTAATCTTTAATTTTAAAGTAATTGTTCTTTTAATATTATTTGTAAAAAGTTTACATTAATAATTATTCAATTAATTGATTTTTTAAATTTACATTTATTTATTTCTATTTTTTGTGGTGTGGAGGGGAGGGGCTGGAATTTTTAGCGTTTGAGAAAATCATATCTCAGTCCCTGTTTCTGCTTCGATTATCTGTATCGTCTGTCTTTTCTTTCTGACTGTCTGTCTGTCTATCTGTCTGTCTGTCTGTCTGTCTGTCTGTCTGTCTGTCTGTCTGCCTTTCTGTCTGACTGTCTGCCTGCATTCTTACATACCCACCCCTTACGTACCCAGCTGTGTATAGACCGGGGGAGGGAGGAAAAAAGGAAAGGATGCGAGAGAGAGTGAAAGAGAGGTAAGCGAAAAAGAGAGACAAAAAGAAAGAATGAGAGAGAGAAAACAAGAGAGGGAGAAAACAAGAGAGAGAGAGAGAGAGAGAGAGAGAGAGAGAGAGAGAGAGAGAGAAAGAGAGATATTTTGTAAGAGAGAGAGAGAAAAAGAGAGATGCGGAGGTTGAAGACAAAAAAAAGGTTCACGGTAGCACAAAAATAACCGTAAGAAGAGAATGAATCGAATGCTGTCTTTAAAAAAAACAAGAACAAGAACAAGAACAAGAACAAGAAGAACACCACTCACTAGTTTCCGGTAAGAGGCAAGCAACTCTGTGAATGCTCAGTTGGATTGCCTGTGACGTAACAGCCTGGCCCAGAGCAGTCCCTGCATCCTGTGATTAAACGACATTTAGAATGTGACTGGCTTACAAGGAAGACTGTGACATAACGACATTTAGAATGTGACTGACTTACAAGGAAGACTGTGACATAACGACATTTAGAATGTGACTGACTTACAAGGAAAACTAATAATAATAATGAATGACATTTATATAGCGCTCAACCCCGAATAAAGTACACAGGCTCTGAGCGCTTTACAATACAGTACAACATACAACAGTAACATGAAACGTTGTGTTCTGACTAAAGAAAATTATTCCAAATATTCATCTTATTAATTTAAAAACAGAAACAGAGAGACTGTGACATAACGACATTTAGAATGTGACTGACTTACAAGGAAGACTGTTGCATGACATTTTTTTTAAATGTACCTGATGTATAAAGACGACTGTGGCATAACGTCATTAAGAATTGTTTTAGTAAGGTTTTACGGCATTTACAACACAATAAGTTCATATAAGTGCCGAAGATTAGAGGTGTCACAAGGGAGGAACAAGGGGAGACAAAGACGACAGACGTTAGATCGGAAAGAAGGAGCAAACCACTCCAGAGCACCCGCAAACCATCCTCACGCTATAAGAGAGGACCTTTTGGTAAGGGTTTAACGCTCCTATCAACACTATTAGGTTACTTATTTAAGGGGCGGGACCTACTAGTTTAACGTCCGTCTCCGATAGGACCGTGAGAGGACCTATATTTTGGTTGAAGGCAGTTCCTCTCCATATTTTTCCAGTGCTGCCAAACACAATATTTACACATGCAAACATTATTTTACTCAGGCACACTAACAAAAAAAAATAATGACATACATACATTCAAAGACAACACACATACACACACACACATATTATAATATAATATATATTTTTATATATAATGTATATATATATAATATATATATATATATATTATAATATATATATATATATATATATATATATATATATATATATTCATATATATATACATAAACATACACAAATTGATGCACATATAAAAACATCCATAAATATCTCATATATTCCCACGCTTTGTAGATTTAGATGTTTTACGCCCCCATCGACGAACTTTAGATCATTTGTTGTTTTAAACACAATATCCTTTGAGCCATATAAATAATTAATTGGTTACTTTTAAGGACAAGCGGGCTAACCCAGATTTCGGTGGTTTCCAGAAATCTTCACCTGCACCAAAAATGGGCATTGCTCTATCTATTGGAGAAGTTTGGTTTCATTGGTGTATTTATATTTGTTTGGTAACATAGAATACTCTCCTTGACTTTTAAAGAAACTGAGCAAGGGGCAAACACTTTATCTCCGATTTTCTCAAAACAGCATTTTTTGGGATTCCCCCGTTGCGCTTATAAGCGACCAATAAGAAAGCGAGTTTTGTCCCTGCCTGTCAGGGTCACCACGGGCTGATAAGGATACATCATCCAAACAGGTCTTTGACAACACTGCCACTCCACCCCCACCCACCCCTAACACGTCTTCTGCGTGCGATAGCGTTGGCGTTGCATACATGAAAAAAAAAAGTAAAGTTGTTCCCGCATCCGATCCGGATACTGGGGATTGCCTTGTTAGTGAGACAACTTCCTGGGACTTCGGCATATTATTATGGTAGGGTGGCCAGTTCTTTCCACGCCAACTTTACTTCCCCAACTCGAAGTCAGTAACTCAATACTGCTGGGTGGGCAGGAGGGTGCAGAAAAAAATCCGTGTCCGAACCGAGGCTCCAACCCGGACTTTCCGCTTCGGAGATGATCGCACTAACCGCTCCGCCACCGCACCCTCTACATGAAATAGCTTAAACAAAACAAAAACAAAACAACACCAAGCAAAACAAAATAAACAAATAAACATAAAAATAAACAAACAAACAAGCAAAACAGAACAAAGCAAAGCAAAACAAAACAAGCCAACAAATTAAATAGAAAAGAAATTATGCTCCTCACATCCAATGGCTGCACTTTGCAGACGAGCTCGTTACTGAGGTCAAGGTTGGAGACGTCCAGGAAGATTTTCCGACATGGTTGTTCTGCCAGGTCACACAACGGACCCCTGAGGAGGAGGTGGGAGAAAAGAAAAGATGGAGGGAAGGGACGGTGGTTTGGGGGGGGGGGGGGGGTTGATGGGAGAAGAATTTTCCGTGATGGAGGAATGGAGAATTTATTTCAGTTAGATGAGATTTCGTAAGAGTTTTATATGGCATTTCCAAAAGAAGAAAACGAAACAAAACTCAGACCAAAAAAAGAAAAAAAATAGAAAGTGCCGATACACGCTTACTTAAACAAACACACAGACACAGACACACACATACACACACACACACACCTACACACACATACACACACACACACACAGTCACACACACGCATACGCACACTCACACACACACGCTTACTTAAACACACACACACACCCACACACATACACACACCCACACACACTCACACACACACACACAGACACACACACACACACACACACACACACACACACACACACACACGCACACACACACATACACACACACAGACATACATACACATACACACATTATGCAATACCAAGGACACACGTCTGTCACATACTCTCTCATTGTGTGTGTTCGGAGGGCGTGACTGGTTGGTCTTACTTCTGTTTTCCCTCTGGTTGTTTCTTGCCAAATTTTCCCCAGCGCTAAATGACCATTGATGTATAACAAAAATAAAATAAATAAATTACATGTTTATTGGTCCCAAAAGGCCATTTTGGTTTACAATGGCAAACATACATACACATACATACATAAATACCTAATTATAAAAACGTACATACATAAATACATGCACAAATACATACATAAGTACACAATATTACAAAAATACAGAACAGTTTACAACCATGCCTTTGTCGGTCGCCACTGTGCAGCGCTCTGTATCTTCCCTTTACTCAAACAAACAAAAAATACAGGCAAGCAAACAAACAAACAAACAAACAAACAAACCTACCCTCTAATGTTGTCCAGTTGTGGGCCCAGTCCTGAGCGCATGTGACACTCCTTTCCCCCATAACCTTGATCGCAGACGCACTGACCTTTGACACAGTGACCATGACCCCGGCAGTTTGTAGGGCAGATGTCGGACAAGTACTCCGGCTTCATCACCATTTGACCTGGACAGGTAGTAATATTATAATACAAGGCCGTGTTTGGTTTGGTTAGATACAGGTTTTACGGCTTCTGCAACTCTTTAAGGATTACAATAGAGGTTTTGTGGCACCTGTAACCCTTTAGGTCAAAATATTGAGGTTTCACGACACTTGTAACCCTTTAAGTCATAATATTGAGGTTTTAAGACACTTGCAACACTTTAGGTCAAAATATAGAGGTTTTGTGGTTACTTGCAACACTTCATGTCATAATATAAAGGTTTTACTGAGCTTGCAACACTTTAGATCCTAGTATAGAAGTTTTACGACACGTTAGGTCATAATAATATAACGGTGTTACGGCACTTGTAACATTTTAGGTCATAATGATTTTACGGCACTGATTTGCAACATTCTAGTTCATAATATAGAGATTTTACAACTATTGTAACATTTTAGGTTTTACAGAACTTGCAACACTTTAGGTCAAATATAGATAGAGGTTTTACGACACGTTAGATCATAATATATATGTTTTACGGCACTTGTAACACTTTAGGTCATAAAACAGAGATTGTACGGCTGTTGTAACATTTTAGGTTACAATGAAGAGGTTTTACGGCACTTGCAACAGAGTCGTCGTCGTGGTTCCTGTACGGAAAGATCATATCATATCGGGAAGTTTTGAATATTACTATACTTCAGTCATGTCAACTGTATTTAAAGCAATGTTCAACTTTGCACCCAAATCTAGCTTTCTTCAGGAACACAGCTGAAGGTAAAAACAATAACACCATGGCAACAATAGTTCACAATAACATCTATCGTAATGGCGAGTTAGAGAAAATAGTGGAAAGTAATAACAATAACCAAAAATGAACAAGCTGTTCCGACACAAACTACTAACACGGGCGCAAAGCGCTGACGCACAAACTGCCCAGCCGCGTTGAGGTGAATTCCTCTTCTTTAACCCTATCCGTACGCCTTGGGGTCATTTTGTACCTCCAGTTCGTACTCTTCATATTTTAGAATACTTCTAGTCCGAAGATCTCTTTGAAACTTTCAGTATTTCTCAAAAAATCATTTTAACAGACTACTATGCAAAGCGTACGGGTTGGATTAACGAGTAAATTTCCTCTTTGGAAAGTGGTGGCACAGAGTTCCCCACGTCGTATGGATACGATAGTAAAACACGACGTACGGATAGGGTTTAAAAAAAACCTATGAGTGTGACCTGACCTTGGTTATCGGTGACATAGCTGGCCGGGTCCAAGCGAAGCTTCTCCTGGCAGTCTGAGGTGTACGTTTGGGACAGGTCGTCTAGGAACTCCAGGGAACCTCCGAACTGAAACATGACGTATCACACATAAAATTATATAGCAGAAACCTCTCCCAACGACCACCCGTCCAAGACTACCTCCGAACTAAAACACAAGTCACAAATATAGCATGTACACGTGTCTGCGCGTGTGGTACTCACTAGTGGTTAGGCAGCAAGACTCGTAACCGTGAAGTTGCGGGTTCGGGGGTTCGAGCCGCGTGCCCAACTTTGTGTCCTTGGGAAATGCACTTTACACGAATTATCCTCACTTCACCCAGGTAGGAATGGGTACCCAGCCATAGACAGTGAAAGTATGCTAGTGTTTAAGCGCCTATAAATGGCCGCTTGCACTGTATGGTTCCCAGAAAGTTGAGGTTGTTTCAGAATGCTCTCAGCTCTGCTGCGCTGGGATAATAAGTTATATTGTGAAGCGCATAGAGCTTGCTGTTGAGCGGAGACTTGCGTTATACAAATGCTATCTATCATTTCTTCTTATTATAGGGTGCGGTGGTGGAGCGGTTAGTGCGCTCTTC